ATATGGCACCAACATGTGAACACCTGTCCTAACCCTTACAGGCCAAATATCACCAATCCCTGTGTGGTGGGGCGTGGTCGGTGGCACAGCTGCAGCGAGGCGGACACACCTGAGCGGCATCAGCAATCACGCCGCACCTGCATTAAATAGTCCGTACTGGGTCCTGTCAGTGTTATTGTTGTCAGCGTGTGTGGCTGCGGGGTGCAAACCTGCAGCTGTTTGTGTGTAGCAGCAACCGTGATAATAAAAGTATGCTGGAAAGCATGAGTACATGGTCGGTTTGCCTGCCAGGTTAGTGACTGAAGACTATGGTTAGAGTGCTCACTGTGAAACCGACTGAACAGCTGATTTTACCATTGACATCACAGGTGGTGACAAAAATGTAATAAACACATTTGAATAATTTTTATAACAGAATAACAGAATTTGCTCCATGTCAGTTTGCAGCTCTTCACAATTTCACCTCTCCTGCTCAGGCCTGAAAATGATGAGGCTGTTCTGCTCTTTATTCTGCTCGCTCTTTATTTGCTCAGATTAGTTCTCCACACTCTGGATACTTCATTCAGCTACAGCTCGCCCACTGCTTTGCACAGCCAGCAACCCGTCTGGTTTTCCGGACACACTACCCACTCTGACCTGCTCTGCTCAGGCTCAAAATCCCATCCTGAGCCTGGCAGTAATTATTCATCTTTTATCTGGTTACACTTCCTTATATATTTATTCATGTATTATTTTGTTACCTGTTGAAGATCAGGCTCTGGCTGCTGGGTTGGGGTCAGCAAACTCTCAGCTTTCTTTCTTGGCTAGCTGTGCATTAACATGTTGTCTGTGCAGATGAATGCAGAGAACCCAAGTTCTGTTAGCAGCATAATGCAGTTGTTTCTGTCTTGGACACAGCTTCACTTTATGTACTCATGTCCTTTTGTGCAATAAAAATAAAAGTAATTTCCATATCGCCAATTCTGAACAGCTGTGCTTCACTCCACCCTTTTCCTCCTCCCACACAGGAAATGAAATCGATACTGATATTTTTTGCTTTCTATCTGGAATGCAGACAAATGAAAAATGAAGAATCATTGTAACACAAGAAACAACTGTAATGTAATGTTACATTACTGAAAAATATACTTATTGTAGTGATCCATTACATTGTAAAACAACAAAAAACTGTCTTTAGACTGTCTTTTCAGGGTCTTAGTTTTAAGTCTGTCTCTTAAAACTGTCTCCTCTGAGACGTGAATTGAACAAATTAATGAATAAAAGTAATTATTTAGACATAATTTGCAAAAATAATGAACACTAGTCAGTGTCACGTATGTGCTTCTTGGATTTGGCATTTGGTTACTTTTAGTGTTCAGATAGAAAATAGGACTGCGTTAAAAGCCCTAGAGACACTACATTTGCTGCTGGTGTGTCGCTACAGGTGCCACTGTGAAAATTAAATAAGAGCCCAGCTAGTGTACAACAATTTATACTTCTTGCCAGAAGTTCAATCCTCGGGTAAGATAAACAGCGAGGTAAACTGCAAAATAAACAGTACACTTAACTTAGGGCTATACTCATCATAGTGCCTTTTTCTTCATCAGTACAGTGTGTTTTTAGATGACGCTAAACTGCATTTAGCAGCAAGTTTATTGGTTGAGTAAACTTTTGCCTCGCCAGACCTTGGACCTGAGATCATGGTGGATAAGCAGGACATTTTTTTTATACATGAATTTGCTAACCTCAGGGTTTTTTGCATATCTTGCGGAAAAAAAACAAAAACAAAAAACAAAACACCAGACAGATAGGTAATATGGTCCAGTAGTATGAAGACATGAAGTTGGAACTTGCTCTTTATCAGAACTGTGGGTGTGGCCTGGTCACAGTGGGGAAAAAAACGCTCTGTCATCCCCCATGCCAGGCAGCAGGGAATGGTCATTATCTTCAGTTACAAGTGGTGGATTTTAGAGAGGGATACATGGCAGACCCAGAAAAGCTTGATCACATTCTGTATCACTGCTGTCTGAGCAAAGCTCCATCTGAAAAGAATGCTGGAAAATAGGCCTATCGCTGCCAACAACCACACTCCCACTGTTAGTAGACACAGGCAGCCGTGTGTGTAGTGCCAAGGCACACTGTGCACCGTTGGTGTTGTTCTAACATACTAAAAGGTCTAGGGTTGTGTATTTGTGATGAGAAACAAAGTTGTCCCTGACTGCTAAATTATCTCACCGGAGTTCAGTGTTATGCATAGTGCTGAAAGACTACTGGGGTCAGAGAAGGCCTTGTATTCTGTGCATATTTAATACAATTTATTTTCAGCTGTCATTTTGACGTCTAACAGTTCTGAAAACCAGACAAAAATTATTGTGCTGAATTCTACTTCATAACGATTTACGCACTTGATCTGAAATTGTAATTCCAGTACACCCCCTTTCCTTTACAGCAGTGTATCGCCACTTCTGCCTAACAGTTCTAACCAAAGTCACCACTTGACAGAGACTGGTGGGTTTTGTATAGATTGATGTACTGAAAACACTTGATGAGCAAAAAAAAAAACAAACTTAAATGAGTTCAATTGCTTAGAAATGATTTGGTGGTAAGATACCAGACTAGTTATAACAATTGCAATACATGATGTTTTCAGTCGGTGTGTATTTCTGTTGAATAATTCTAATCTCAATGTTGACAGTAATAACCCTGTTTATGATTTTTGCCATTCAAATGGCCCTAGCATTCATCTCCTTCCTCTGTAAGCTGTTGGTAAGCTTATCATTGACAAGCCAATTTATAAATAAGATGGTAATAGGATCCATTGCTGGATAAACAACAGCACAAAATTTAGTATCCCCCCCCCAAAAAACAGTCAGAGTAACAAACATGAACATGTTTTTAAAAGACATGGGTGGTCTGCTAAATCATGTGGGATTATATGATGGAACAGAAGGGTCCTTTTTAATTTTTCAGATTCAATACACCCAGCTACCCTAGGCTAATACATAGCCCTGTTCTGGTTCTTAATAAAATTGAGGAAAAATTTCTAGCTGGATTTGCTCCACATTGAGTGAATGCATGTAGAGCATCTTCTGGGCAGCAATTGATATGTGGTTTGTTCACTGATGAACAGGGTTTCTCATTCCTTCCAAACATAGAAAGAATCACTGGCTGGCTGATGGCTTCCAAACGTGCCTGCCCTTTCCTAAAAAAGTTTCCAAGGACGTCTCCCAGATGGATCTCTTTAACAAACCATCTGGCACAGAGTTGTTAAACTCTGCTGTTTCAGCTACCTGGGGAAGGTTACCAGTAGCTACTGAGGAAAATGAATGTGCTATCATCATTCAATTTTGGTTGAGCAATCAAGCCTTAATCTTTCAGAATGTTACAACCAAAAGTTAAATAAGAAAAATACTTGCCTGTTGCCAGTTTAGCCTCTCCATAGACTGCCATAGAATTTATAGATATAGATAAACATGCGACCTGATCATCAGTTTTGCATGCCAAAAGACAAAATCATTTAGTTTCTCATTTCATTGTAAACCTGTGGAAATTTGCTGCTTTCAAAATCCTTAATGTTAATATGCAATACTTGAACATTTAGTCATAAAATAAAATTTGCTATATGATTACTTACCTTAGAGTAGCACACCAATCCCTGCATCACACAACTGTAATAGTGATAATGTTTATACATTTTCAAAACTGTATATTTTGAAATCAATGTGCAGTTTTTCTATTAACACTCACTGTGCTGAAGTTAATAAAGAGATCTGAGCTGTTTAAGTTACTCCTGAGCTGTTTCCCCCGGAGATTGGACACCCCCGGAGCAGTTGGTTTCCAATACCACGGACATTTCCTTGACCAACAGTCTGAGAAGGAATTATTTCCGGATGCTCCAAGCTTGCTACCGGGCAGCAGGAGAGCACGATTAGAAATTCCTTCTAAGCCAGCAGAAATAGGTTAAACCACCTGCTGGCCTTAGGAGCTTTTCTTCGGCTGGTGTTGCAATCTTCTTTCTTAAAGTTGTAAGGCCAGAGACATAGTAAATGTTATTGTTTCTTTTCCTTTTGGTCCTTTTGTTCTGAATGTTTCAAAGAGGCCATAAATCACACCCACAGCAACACAACACACTCTCTTTCATTTCCTCTTATATTCTCGGCCCTTTAATTTCTTCATGTCTTCCTTTCTGTCTCCTTTAGAACCCTGCTTTTACCCTCTCTGTCTCTGCTCTGTCAACTCTGCCTTTCTGTCAGCCTCTGTGCATGTTTCACAGCAGCCAAGGACCATGTCTGTTACCCCCTCCTACTCTCCAATGTTTGTCTGAAGTATTAGGGGGTGTTGCCTCATTGGATAGAATTAATTGATTAATACTTTTATCCAATTAGTGTTCCCTCATGCAATTAATCAGCTGGCTGCGGTTAGGTCCGCTCCATCAGTTGGATGAAAGGCAGACAGATGCTTTGGGTTTGCTGTGTGATGAACAGTGACCTTTCTTGCTTGCGTTCCCTTTCTCTCACTCCTCCTCTCTCCTTTTTTTACTCTCTCTCTCTTTCCTTCCTATTTTCCTTCCTATTTTTCACATGTCTGGTTTCCTGTCTTTCTATCCCGTTTTCACCATTCTCCAGCAAATTGTTGGAATTCTTGCTGAACACAAGAATTACTAATAGAAAAATGTTCGTTGCAGATAATCCTAACAAAACCAAAACACTTATGGGTTTTGTAGTTCAAAAACACAGAGTTAAACAAAGATAAATTAAACAAAAAAGCGGTGCTATAGGATTTGTTCTTTATTTATTGTTTATTTGTACATTGATTTAATATTGATTGTAAAGAGCTATGAAAAATTGACACCAATAACCCACAACAGGTCAAGTAAGGGAAAAAAATACAACTAAAATAATAATAATATTAATAATGATAATCATCATCATCATTTTGCTGGTTAGTCAATCCTTAAATCTATCAAATAGAAACTATTTCCATACTGAGGCCATGACAACAGTGTCTTTTCTGTTTTACAGGTTCCCTCTTTTCCTGCCTTCAATCCATGATGGAGCTGTCATAATGGCTGAAAAAACACTGTAGGACCTTTTGAAGAATGAACTTTCCAAACCAATGGATTGTTTTGAAGGGCAAAGCTGTCAGAGACCAAACATTATCACCAACAGTAAAATCCTTTGGCCTTTCGTCAGTTCAAGGTTTCTGCTTCAGAAGGTAAAGCCAGCTGTGACTTTTCGAGGAGCTGAACTACTGAAGAGTTTTCTCTTCAGCAAAGTTTAATCAAGTCATTTTTTGGCAGCTTAGTATCAAACCACCTGAAACACACACCAGCTACTGGAGGTGACATGGCTAGAAGAGGAAATGGAAGCACTGCAAGCAGTAATCGATACGAAGTCAAAAATGGATGGAAGCTATCACTCTCAGTCTTCATAGGCATGCTTTTCAATGTCATTCTATGCTTGGCCCCCCTAATTCCTTCAATGATCAGTGAGCCTGTCTAGCAAAGCCTGTTTTTGTTGCTTTCAAAAACCTTGAATAACATTTTCCAAAGTCAATTTGTCCAGCTACTTTCGGTCACATAAACAACATATTAAGAAAAACAAACAATAAAAAAGACCCTATAAGTTGGAGTAAACACTACGAAGAATCAGAATTACTGACAATGTCACAGTGCAAACAGTTACTCTGCAGGTGGTACAACTCCTATATGCTCTCTGACCTGCCCTGTGTTTGGCAGATAACTTCAGATTGATTTCTGATCCCATGGATTAACTTTCAAGCTCTTTCACAAAGACCTTTAAGCGTGTCCTTTTGGAGTTTTATTTCAGATAAAACTACAACAGAAAACCTTCTCTTGTTTGCATGAATCTTTTAAATTACATGTAGACACAGGAAGGATTGTTTTTCTTTTTTTTTAAAATCAAAATGGCTCCTTCATCGACATCAGGAGTTTGGACACTACTGGCAGCACTAACTCTACTTAGCTGCAATATTTTTATCTGGTGTGAAGCTTCAAGGACTAGTGGCACAACAACTTCAGGAGAAAGAGACCAAGAGCAAGGACCCTCATCACTTGAACGTGTAAAGAGAGGATGGGTGTGGAACCAGTTCTTTGTCGTGGAGGAGTATACAGGAACAGAGCCTCTATATGTAGGAAAGGTAAGACATTAAATATATGAAAAACCTTGTGAACAGGTGTCAATTCCTTGAACTGTTGGTAGTGAAAAGAAAAAGAAAAGAATGTCTCAGCATGCAGTTAAGATATGGGTAAAACACTTCAGGTAAAATAAAGTATAATACTCTGGATAATGTTCAGGAAAGCTTTAGTGATGTACTGTGGAGGGAGATTAATATGTTGGCAAGCTATGTTGAGGTTAAAGTCAGAGTTTCATAAAGGTAGCTCTCATTTTACCTAGCTAAATCACCATGGTAACATATGCTATATGCAACCTATTCAAGCGAGCACAAAATTGTCATGGTTTCTTTTTAATTTAAAATAAGCTGTAATTCTAATATAGATTATCTGCTTAAGGAAGATGCATTACATATGCAACCATACCTAACTGAATGAAAGTTACAGCTGTAAAGTTACAGCAGTAAGAAACTTTGTAAAGGGCCTAAACTACTGTCTCGCTGGAATTGCAGCTAATAGAACTCAGAAACATAAAAAAACAGATAAGTTCTATTTCTAAGAACAAATAAAATGTATTATGTATTGAACTTTTCCCAAACTAAACTGATCTTCTTATCTCCTTTATTAGGCTGTGAGAGAATGTCAGACCTGAACACACTGATTAACATTTAAATAATTTAAATATTTAAACTATAGAGATGAACATGCAGCAGCTGATATGTTAGGAAAAAATTAAAGATCTTCTGCAAGAATATTCTCTTATCTTTGGATCACCAGTGCTGCATTTTACTGTTATCCTTTTTATACTCTTTAGTGAACTTTATCACCAATTCTTATGATAATGTTACGAGTGTCTGGAGTTGGTGACAAACTTTTAGTGCTGAAGAAGAGTCAAATGAGGCATCAAATCCCCCCTTTTGTGAGTGTGCATAGAAAGTGATGCCGAAAGTCTGACTTAACAAAGAAAGTCGATAACCTCTGACACCTGTTTCTCTAAGTAAGGTTTCAAGATTTTGTCAAGACAAAAAAAAAAAAAAACTTGCCAACTTCCTTTGCAGTATACACTTTTTGAGGGACAAATTCCCAATTTGTTGTTAAAATACTCCAGATGCCTTATGTTATCAGGATGAAAGCATTATTTCTAAGAACCTCTCTCAATCACATAAGACTTTTTAATGAGCAATTCAGATCAGTTCCTTTAACCAAATGCTTTTGTTGTCCTTGTGAAACAGGGTAAATAATGTGGCCAAACATAGATATACAGCAAAACAAACAGGCTTTCAAGGGCAGACATGCACTTATATATGAATTTGCTGTTTGAGGAGCTTAACACATAGTTACTCACCTACGTTATTTTACATGATAATTTATGTGACACCAGCATATCTCCTTTAAAATACTATACTCTACTAAAGCCGTTAAAAGGTATACATATTTTATAGAATAATACATGTTCAATCTAGAGTATACTGTAGACTATTTTGCTGTAATATTTGTGAAAACAAAATAATCAAATGTAACCCCTTCAGCTCACACAGCCATCAGAAAGGCAGTAGCTGGAATCACTGTCAGATCCATACTCAGTTACTTTAAGTAGACCATGATCGTTGAGTGTTACCATAAGAATTCAAGAGAAGCATTTTCATTGGGCTCGGAAATCAGCTGACAGTTCCTGCAAGCATCCCTATCCTGCCCGAACCTTTACACACAATTGTACATACAGAAAAAAGTACACACAAATGACATTTGTAGATTTAAACTAAATATACTGTTTAGGCATCTATGTGTTTGCATTAACTGTCAACTCCTGATAAAAATCTGCATATTTATTCAATTTACATAAAAGAGAAAATGATTTTAGTTCAGGATAAAAGTGTGATTTGGTCAAAGTCAAAGCTCAACTACATTAAAAGCATTTTTGAACGGTCTAATTATGCACCTCTTCTAATCAGTAACCACAAATGCTTCCCTCTGCTCTTTGGCATTTGCTTTGTAAGACAAAGATGCAAAGTGGCCAGAATTGTTGCCAAAATGCATCACTTGAAGCCGCTGAATTACTAAACCGACACTAGCACTAAAACCTTGCTTCCAATCAACAGCAATTTCATTGTAGTTGCATTTACTTGTCTTCTTTTTAACCTGCATAAAATTACCGAGTTCTTGAGATCAAGACCCTGACATTTTGAATGAAGAGCAAGAAATTAAATCCAAGTGGTTTGCTGCTAAGAACTACCTCTGAACAAACTCTAAACAATAATTTCAGCTTTTCTGTAATGCAAACACTGTGGCTATTCAAAACAAAAGTGCTGGACAGACGCGTATGGATTTTCCAATATAATGTAGGAATGTTGACTTAAGGTAGGCATATACCTCCCACATGACTCATGCTACTGAAAGGAAGGCACCATTTTTAAAGAACATGAATACTTTGAGCTGTCAGGAGCTTTTTGGCTCCTGTGCAATGTAAGAGTCACTGTGGCTTCCAGACTTCTTTCAGTTCTTGAGCCAGTCTCTCTGAAAACCGTAGCCCACTGGCTTAAAATTGAGTACTTCGATCTCATGCTCCACATAAAAAGCTTTCAGAGATTAGTCTTCAAAGCCAATTTTGCTCAGAAGGTCTCGAACTACAATATTTTTCTTTTTCTCACAGTGTACCAAGTGAATGGAAAAAAAGTCATAGATTACTCAATTACACTTACTTAGTTATAAGTCAAAACAATTACAAATGATTTAGTTGATACTGAATTACTAATTTATATCATTTTTTTTAAAGCTGACTAAAGTCCTTATTAAACTAAAAATAAATAAATAAAAAAAAAGCAAGGAACTATCTTACCCACCTGTCTTCAAGACATCTAAATCTGATGTTTTTGTCTTATTTTCTGTTCACTAAAAAGTTCCTGCTCCGGGGCTAGTACTGTCTGATCACCTTGGGAAAATGCACAAAGACACTCACTTGTCAAACACTAGCCTGTCTGCTACAGTTTGCCTACAACATGTACAAATTCTCACGTTATGCAAAAAAGTATATTAAAAAGTCTTTTTATATTTAATTGTAATGAGCAACTATACCAAAAATAACTAACAATAAATGCTTTGCAAGTACAGTGTAGTTAAAGACACCTTTAAAGACACTTTAATATTGTTCTTTAATACTCCTTAATACATTTTTAGCCAATTTGTTAAATCATAAATGAAGCCATAAAAATTCTGTGTTTTTTTTCTGTCTTTGGTGTTTGTTAACAAAGCCTCTGTACTTAGTGATGACAGCCTCAGCAATGCCCTTCCTTTTGATGTTGAGGACAATGTCTTCACACCAGAAATGTGATCAGTGAATGTCATTTTGTAATGTAATCATAGTTAATGGGTATATGTCAAATGAAATCAGTTTGTTATCATGTCAGTAGCAAGTGTGCATTTATTAATATTTTCACTTTTTTTTTTCCATTTCGTCTCATTCACATCCCATTCATCAGCTGTTGCTCATATGATCCTCAGTGACTTGATGAGAGTGGACACCGTGTATGATTCGATTGCTTTACGTAGGACGTGATATGAAAAGACAGAACATTAAAGCAGACAGAATGAGACACGGTGATGAGTCACATGCATCAATCATGAAATCCCCTTGTTTCTAATCAGTTAGACATGGCAATTGACCAGCTAATATTGCATCTGCATATATTGATCTCTCTTTTCTTACAAATGAATGGAGATGTTCTTTGTACCAGAGCCTGGTCTTACAGAATAATTATCCTTTGATCAGTATTTTTCTGCAATTGTGAATGTGACGAATTCCTGCTGGCAAAACCAATGCAATCCAAACAATGCAACAGGCAGCACTGTCTGTCTGCTGGTAGAGCAAGAGACAGAATAAAGCTGAGTGACATATGAGAAAAGGAAGGAAGCGAGAGGAAGGCTTCAAAGGGAGACTGGAAAACAAGAGCCTTCATACACTGACTGGTGATTCATTAAAAGGACAGGGTGCCAGGGAAGACAGTGAGCTGATATAAAGGAGCTTAAGGGAAGAGCTTGAGGGAATGATGCAGCAGGGGGGAGAAAAGAGATGATTTTATTAATAAAATTATCAAGTTATTGCATTTCATGTCACAAGGGCAGCGGCCAGTGCTATTTATGGCGTGCGTAAGTGTGGATGTGATTGTCTGGGTGTTAATACATGCTCAAACACAAAGTACCCCTGCTGGATTTTTGGTATCGAAACTATAATTTAAGCTATGAAGGATTAGAGCCAAGCATTGGCCCTCTGCATTGTATAATTGTGCATCTTGCTTTGCCCTGACACAGCAAAGTTGACAAATTTGCTTTTTTTCCACACTGTGGTTACTGCCAGTGAAGTCACTTTTCTAGTAAGATGGTCACTTACATGCATTTGATCTGGAAGATTTTATCTGTGTATTTAGATAAATACCAGTTGTGTACTTTAATGATCTAAAATGCATGCATTTTCCTAGCTCTTTTTCAAAGCTATTGTGCGGTGATAAAAGGAAGGGAACTTGGGGAAAGAGAATTGCTGTAGAGCACAGATAATCCTAAATGGCTGTTGTTAAAGGAAGTTGACAGGGGAAATGATACATTCTTCATCTACTCTGGGTTTTTCTTGGTAGTTTTTTTTCTCTTCTATATTGACAAATGCTGTCAGAAGTAAATCCATTGTGAGGGTGAATGTGTACGAGGTGGACAATTTCTGCAGCGTGTGCACACATTCTATGCTCACGATAGTAACGTGTACAGTTTCAGTGTTGTCTTTATGTCCTTTCAATTTTCTCTGAACTTTGTGTCTATATCTGAGATGAGTTTTTGCATACTGTCTCAGCAAAAGTGATAAAGTTGTTACAGTCCATGTCACACTTCAAGGTGCTTCTTATCCCGTTTTAATTCTTAACCCAATTAAACAAATTAGCTTTTTTAAAATAAATATTTTTCTCATACATCATTCGTCTTTCTGAAAATTATTAATTTGATTTATGGTGTATCAAATTCTGTGTCTGATTTTGGTTGCAGTAGG